TGGGGTACAAATGAAGTAAAATAAAATAATGGGCTTTAGACTGGAGTAACTCTGCATAGGATTGCACTATATGTCACACCTCTTCTTTTAAAAAGGGGTTTTCTTGTTCCTTTTCTGACACAAATGTTGTTTTTTTCCTCCTGAGTATCAGCTTTTCTTACTTTTCTCCTTCCCCTGCCCTTTCTAACAGCTTTCATGTACGCTTTCCTCTAGCCAACATCTTTTCTTCCATGCTAAGTCTTGATTGAGGAAAGATGGAATGAAATGCATCAGAAAATACACACTGCAGCATAGCTTGTCAACAATGGGGGTGACAAGGAGTGCTGCCTGAGGCTTCTGCAGCCTTGCTACCACCTCTTTACCTACCTCTTTTCATCCCTGCCTGGGAGCATTTGCAAGGTGGGATAGTAAGCCATGCGTGCCCAGTAGGGCTTCCTGAACTCTGGTGATAGACATGAATTTGGGGAGCCCCACTGTGCTTGGGGCAGTAAGGAGCATTATCTGTTCTTGCTCCTGTGGGGCTGGCACAAGGCACAGTAGAGGCTGCTGCCCCCCACCCAGGTCCACCCCCTCATCTTGCGTCATTGTAAAGCCAGTCATGATGGCTCAGTTCCTTTGCAGTGATAGGAAAAAAAGGTTCTGAGGGGCCATTATAACCCTAATAACATTAGTTTTTAGATCATTTTCAGCTGTGGACATAACACACTAACCCTTCTTTTTTTGAAGAAGTATGTTTTGCTCACAAAAGCTTACACTTTAAATAAAATTTTGTTGATCTTTTTTTGACATTTTTATTGCTTTTAATCTCTACACACGACAAAGGATAAGGGTAAGGGATATTCTAAACTAAAATACAGAGTAAGCAAGGATCATATAACAATCTACACATCAGTTTCTTGGTATTCCCTATTATTTAGTTTTTTAAATGGAGATTAGCTGTTAATATAATTTTTTTTAGCCCCTCCAGGGGATTTTTTTATTTGCATTTTCTAAAAACGACAAACACTACAACTAAAAATTGGAAGGGGAAAGGGAAACTATACCCTTTCTAAACTATATCATCTATTGGTTTGGGGAAAGGAAAGCTAATACATGTCACGATCTTATTCATTAAAAATAAGGCTTGTTAACCTGATATTACAAGTTTGGTATTCAATTTGATTCATTACGATATTGCTTTAAGAATATGCATTTAATAGCTTAACACAAATTCTGCCTTTAAAAACTATTGTTCTTGTTCTAGAGTCTTTTCTTCCTGCGTTTCTTCGTTTTCTTGGGTTTAGGGGTGGCTGCTCCTTTCTCCGACTCAGATGATTCTGGTGATGTGGAAGTAGTGCTTTTTGAATCCTGTGGGTAGGATTCTTCTTCTTCATCTTCTTCCTCCTTATCCGGTTTAGAGTTCTTTTCTTTCTTTTTGTATTTTGAATTAAACATTTGCTCCATAATTTTTTCAGCTTTTGGAACAGAGTAAATTTTGTATTTTTTATCCAAATAATTGAAACTCAGCCCTTCCGGGAATAACCATCTATATGGTATTCCCTTTTTTTGCAGAGTTAGAGTGAGCATCCTGTATAGTTTCCTCCGTTTCCTGACTTCAAAGGGAATGTCTTTTAGTATTTTTATCTCTTCATTTTTAATTTTTACAGTTTTTCCCATTGTAGATTTTAGCACCAGCTCACTAATAGATCATTTTGTGAATTTTAGGTAGATTTACCCTGGTAGTTTAATCTTCTTTATAAAATCCGGGTAGATCCTGTAGGCTACATCCATCTCTTTCACAAGGTCTTCCTGTTTGTAATCCATTAATGGGGCCAAAGCCTCTGCCAAAAGTTCTTTTAAGTCCTCGTTTTTCTCTTCAGGGATCCCATGGAAACGTAGAACATATGTAGATCTTTCCAGCTGGAACTGTATTAATTGCGTTTTATCAGAGGATCTCTCCTTCTCTGCTTCGTCTACTCTTTTGTTAATGCTCTCCATCTCTTTTTCAATTTTTTTCAACGTTTTCTCAGTTACTGAGGTTCTTTTATCCATTTGATTCAGCTGTTTTTGGACACTGTCCAATTTAGTATTTAGGTTTCTCATCTGTTCCATTAGGGGGCGCAGTGCATTTGCTAACAGTGAAGAAAAATCTATAGTTGCTTCCTGGTTCTGGGAAGGAGTTGTTGGTATGTTATTTCCGGTCACCAGTTTTTTCTCCGGTGCCCTCCGTCCTCTCCCAGCCATAATATCAACAAGAAGTAAGTTTCCCAAAACAAGACAAAAGTTATGCGATATAAATCCGCTTTGTATATTTTGGCAGTTTTTGCCTTCGCTTAACTTCTTATGCGTTTGTTTTAGCTTTAAGTCTTTTTATTTCCAATTTAAAACCGCCTTTGAAGAAAAAAGGGGGGGAATACTCAATCCCTCTCCCTCCACGCTTCAGTCTAAGGCGCTTCCAATTACTCCCAAGGTCCATTAGCTTTTTCACCTGAGCGTTGCTTAACTCACAGTTTGAAGACCTGGAGATCTTTTGGAAGCATTTTAGGGTTTTGATCGTGGTCGCTTGCTCTGGCAGTCTTCTCTAAGCACCATGTTGGCTCCGCGGCGACGGTACCTTTTGGGGATAAGGGGAGCCTCAATTCCTTGGCCGTCGCCTTGGAAGAGGCTCTCCTCAGCTCCCCAGGCTGAGGGTCTCCTACAGAGACCCCGGGGAGGTCTGGGACGAACTCGGACCCCTCCCGTCAGCCGGGTCTTGGCGCGTCTCCATCAGAGCGAGACGGGACACGTCCGAGCGGTGAAACGCTTAAACTGGAAGTCTGCTGTTAATTTAATTAATTCAAACAAATACAAGCATAATTAGCCATAGTGAGTGCATCTTAGCATTTCAAATATTAATAAAAAAGCAATATTTTCAGAGTTAAGCTATTTATCAGTTTTCTTTCCTCTACGTTTGTTTTTATCAAAGGGCAGCTTAATTTTAAGAGGTTTAGGAGATGCTACTTCTAATTCTGATTCAGAGTCTAGAGTTCCTTCTGAAGAACTACTCGATGAACTGCTACTGCTTCTGGATCCGTGTTCGCTGTTATCTTCTGCAACGTTATTGTCCTCTGCTTTTCCTTTTCCTTCTGCTGAACTTTGGTGCTGTTCCAAAAATGCTTTTGCTTTTGTAACAGAGTCAGTCTTTTCTTTTTTCTCTTTAAAGTTGAAGATAAGTCCTTCTGGTATTATCCATCTGTAGGGAGTGGAGTTTTTTTGTAGAAATAATGTCAGGTTTCTATATAGCTTCCTCCTCTTTCTCACCTCAAATGGAACATCTTTTAAAACTTTCACTTCTTCTCCTTTGATTTTTAAGGTTATTCCATTAGTTGCTTTCAATATCATATCTCTTGTTGACCTTTTAGAAAATTTCACCAACACTTCACCGGGCAGCTTGTTTTTCTTAATAAATTCTGGATAGGTTCAGTATACCATATCCATATTGCTTTGTGAAGATTCCACTTTATAGTCTGCCACTGAAGCTAGGGCTTCGCTTAAGATCTCTTTCTCGGAGCTGTTGTTTCTCGGAGGTCTTCTCTTTTTCCACTACCTCTAGTCTTTGATTTAATGTGTTTGTCTTATCATCGACCTTTTCCAGCTTTTTTGCTGTCTTCTCTGCTCTTATGCTAGTTTCCTTCAGTTCCTTTTGAAGAGCATCAAAGTTGTTGTTGAGGTTAGTCATCTGATCCAGCAGAGGGTGCAATGCTGCAGCAATCATCTTGGGGAAATCTGTGGTTACTTCCGGTCTGGAGACCAGAGTCGATGAGCTGGCAGTTCCTGAAGAAGGTTTCGCCCTGGATGCCATTTTTTCAGCCCGATGCAACATTTACATTAAAAGCAAAAGTTCTTTAAAGTCTCTGAAGATCTGTAAATTGCACGTTTCTTACTAATCTGCACCCCGCTCGGCTAGATTATTGTTCTCCCACCGTAGCCTTCCCTTTGCCCCTCGTTTTCTACCGTTTATAGGCTATTTATAGGCTATAGGCTCCCCCTTCGCTACATTTGGGGCTTCGAGGCGGCTTTTGCGGTTTTGCGCCTGGGCGCTTGCTTCTTTAAATGCACGCTTTGCTTCACGCTTACTTCAGAGGGTAGGACTCCCATCATCAGATCTCTTGTGTGCTCACTCCGGTGTGCGCCTTTGGTGCCATGGCTGGTCTCGCGGTGGCAGGACCTATCAGGGCAAAGATCATTTGGCGTTCACCTCAGGAGAAGCACCCCTCATGCTCCAGGCTACGAGCCCCCTCTGAGGGCTCGGGGGGGCTGGAATCGTCTGGGACTCCTCCTGTCCGGCGCGATCACAGGCCACTGTCATCGGAGCTTCGATGGAGTGCACCCGCCAGCAAGTCACCGAAACCGGAAAATCAAAACTTTGTTGGTCTTTAAAGGACTGGACTCAGACTTTGTTCTCCTTCATAACCGTGTAAGGAAGTCTGGTGGTATTCTGTCTGCACTGCAGACTGTGGGGTGAGGCTGAGAAAGAGAGAAGGTTTTCTTAGGTTACCTAGCAAGGTCATGGTTGAGATTAGATTTGAGTTGAGAGGACTTCCCAGAACACACCCTATACTAGGTCAGCTCTTTATATTTCTGTGCCTTATGACAGACGTCCCATCACAGAGATACCCAGAGGCTTCCATTAGTCCAGTCATTTACTAAAGTTCAAAGGAGAGTTCTTATCATCTAGATAGCACTTCAGGATTTCCCATATTTTAGGGAAGAGGGAGGTCATCATTCTACAATTGTTTAATGCAATAAGTAATTTTTTCAAATAGTGGCCTTTTTGAAAGTGAGTGTAAGTGGAAGGGGCAATCTAATGTTAATAATTAAAGGTTATAATTCATACAGCATCATAAATTTGTAGGTGGTAGCAGCATTTGAATGAGATTGTCAAATTATTCTTCTTGTTACAGCTGCAACTGCATTTTTAAAGACGCTTATAACTATGGTTACTTCATCCAGTAAAATACTTGCTAAAATATTTGTTACAGCGCATACAAACTGCAATTTTAAAAGCATTCAATAATCCAACTACTAAAACAGCAGATGAGGAGACAAAAAGAAAAGTCAAAGGTATGTTGCTCGTCAGTGAAGCTTCCACAGTTATTTGGGTATAATATGATTTAAGTTTTTATTTGCATATGAATTGCCATTATGAAATGGTATGTTTGTGGATTTTTAATTTCCTCTGAAACAGTTGAGTTGTTAAGGGCTAGAATACTCTGTGGCTTGAGCCTATTTTCTAGTGCCATCTAGTGAACATGCAAAATACTCCATTGACCTAATTCTTTTATACATGTAGCAAAATCTAGCTCAGCTATGTATTTTTTTATTTGCTGTCATGCTGCCATACTGATTTGCAGAATATACATACTCACCCATAGCTTGCTCACTCAGAAGTAAGTTGAGCTGCATTCAGTGGGTTTTCTAGTTTAGGACTGCAGCCTTAATGAACCATTTTGTAATGGAAGTAAGCGAAGTCTGAAAACATTATCAATGCTATAATAAAAGAGCCATCTTTGGCTGCAGTCCTCAGGTGCTTATTGCCAAAGTGTAATTGTACCAACTGCTCTATAGTTGCACTGAAGATTACATTCAGATGTATCAATGCAGTTATGTAGCCTCAGGATTGGGGGAGAAATCATGCTAATTGCAGGGTGTACCAGCCAAAAGGAGGAAGTGAACAAGGGTGTAATATCCTCTGGTTACCTCTGAAGATAAGAAAATAAAAGGGCCTTTCTTTTTTTGCTTCAGCTGAGGTGGGGCGGGTGGAGGAGAGGAATGGAGATGACATGGAGTTAAACCATAGCTGCAGTCTATAGTTATTCTCCTTCCTCTCTTTTCTCAAGCCCTTATGGCAATTGAAGCTTTCAGAAAGTTTTTTTCTGGAGACTTGCACAGGAGAAATCTTCAGTTATGCTATTAGGCTGTAATCTTAAAACACATTCCTTGAGATAAATTCAGGTAAAGCCAGTTGCCTTCATAACCTGCTGTGTGAAAACACACTAATACGTGAGCTGAAACATCACATTTTAAAATCTATGAATTAATGTTCTTCTGAAGTTGAACAATAGCTATAACCTTAAAGTCAGGCATTTGTCTTTGATGTTGTAGATTACTACAAATTGTAGTAGAAATTGTAGATTACTAACAAAAATCAGTGGGTTGAATCCAATGCTGCTGCTTCAGAGGCAACATAGCAGTTCCCTTGGTGGAAGAAAAGAGGATGATTTTTTTTCTGGTCCCCCCCCCCCCCAACTCCACAGATGTCTATTTCACTGCAGGCACTGTTGATTCTGAGAGTCCCTTGACCTTCAAGATCAGAATGGGCCACAGTGTGGGGTGGAGGAGGGAGATCATGCCCTGCCAGCTTGACTCAACTGGCAGTTCCTTAGATATATATCTCAAAGGCAGATCCTTTGATACATATATGCTATGCTTCAGAATGATTTTTGTCTGGTGTTATCTCCCTTTAAGTCCTGTGGAAAACAAATGAGATCATGCTGCAGCACTGCTGATGCTGTTGCACAGTAATATGTGCACTGTATAAGGATAAATTGATAAATATATTAATATTATACATTTTAATGCTTTTATTTGAAAGGTATATCTTTATCTGTCTACTGGAAACAGAAAGCTAATAATGAATGACAGTTTATCAATCACTGATGAATACAAACTATACTTTCATTATATAAAGACAGTTTTGTAGCTACCACTATTTGCCTACTCTGTATGGAATGTTTTCAGAAAAAATCCTAGAATGAATTGTGTTGTTTTTAGAATGGATTTTGTATGTTCACATTTTAAAAAAATATAATGTTTTTTCAGCATATGGAAGAGAGGGTGTGAAGATGAACTTCATAGATAGGATCTTTGTTGGTGAATTGACTAGCACTATCATGTGTGAGGAATGTGAAAATGTAGGTATTCTGGAATTCAATTTGTTATGGAAACAATCAATGATTTGAACAAACTGTGTTTTGAGATAAATCTGTATTTTCTGTCTCATTCATGTTTCTCACATATCTGGAAACTAATTGTTTCTAAGTGCTTATTTCTGTCTTAAATTTTGCTTCCATACAGTGAAGAATGTCATGAATGTTTTAAAAATCGCCCCCTCAGTCCCCTGCTAGTTCCTCTAGTTAAGAGTAGGCTAAAGCAGTGATGATCAACTTAACACATCATTTCCCCAAAGTGTTAGTAGGTATAGTACATGCCTGTATCTGCTCTTGGCTGTCACTGTGCTCTTCTCCATTGCTTGAAGAAAAGTTTACTGACCTCAGTGCTGTTGCAGCCTTGTCGTGTTATTAACAAAGGTCTATGGGTCCTCATGTTTGTGTGTGTGTTCTTCTTATCTCCTTGCTTATCTTTCATGTAGAATATGAAAGAATAGCGAGCTATGGTAAATACTAATATACTGAGCAACAAAGGAGGACAACTGTCTATTGAATGCTTTCTGAGCACATATTGGTTACTTGCATCTAAGCTCTCATTGGAGCCATAGGCCATCAGCTAAACTGCAGTTGTGCAGTAGAGTGCAGGGCACAGAGGTCCTTAGTGGGGGGGCACATACCTGTTAAGCCATATCCTAGAAACTGAAAGGATAAATGTGCAGTAGCTTCTTGATTCTCCCAGCCATCGCACTGCCCCTTGTTTTATATATTGGCTGTATGACCTACTCCCAGAGGAAATATGTAAATGCAGTTCAGAATAGATTGCTTGTTGTATATGCAGCAGCAATTTGCTGTCAGTTAAGAACTTTGCCTTTTAAGCCAGTCTGTCATTTCCATCCCTCCCCCTCCTGGAATATTCTTACACCATTCCTTGTGGGTGTGTATTTTGCACCATCAAAGAACAGTATAAGAATTACTTCTGAATCAACATCCCAGCTTGCCATGTGGTATGCTTGGATGTTTACTTGTGAGTAGATGCATTGGCATGGAAATGGTACTAGCTTGCCACATGGAATGAAAGACTGGAGTCTTTCCCAGCCAGCATATCTGCTCCAGAGGAAGTGGGCAATGTTCCTTGCAATGTCTGTCACCTGGAATGAATTCCTCTTTTAAGGAAAGACTCAGTTTTCCCTCTAATACCTAGTTGGACAACTGCAGTATTAGGGCCCCCCCCACCGTATCCAGGGTATGTGTTGGTGGGGCCAGTGCAGACACTTCCTAAGAAGGATGGTGTGCATTGAGTGGTACATCAGCAAAATGTTGTAGAACAAGTCATTGAGCCAGCAGCATTGCAGACAGCTAGACCCATGCATATGGCTAGGATGGGAGTGCCAGAACGATTAGCAAATTGTGTTCTGTATCATTGTGGCCTTGTCCTTGCAGTCCTGTCCATGCTGGTGTCAGGCATTTGTTAGCTACAGACCTGGTAAACAAGTTTCCAGCTCAGATTCCTTTTCCAACATTGGCAGGGACTAGCTACTGGGAACCAGTGCCGAAAATTGCAAAATTTGGCTTGTGTTTTGGGCATGCAGAGTCCTGGTCTACAGAAGCAAGGCTGGAATCCTGCTGGCAAACTCTATAGTTACATGGCTGTAGTTGCCTTTTTGATTCTGATCCCCCTTCCCTTAGTACCTGGAAGTATTTTATAAGTATCTGACAAACTCAGTTCATTTCAGAATAAACAAGATCCACCTACAGTTTGTTTTTTTGTGTGTGCGTTTAGGTCAAAACATTGCCTTTCCCATATGACAACCAAAGGCCTATAGCTTGGAATGTTGTATTAGCAAGAGCCAAATGTGCATGAGCATCTTAGGTCAGTACAAAACAGCAAAAACCTGAATGCAACTCCCTGTTTTAATTAGGTACCTTATAATTTGTTAAAATATACTTCTGATGAAATTAAGTGCATGCCAAGTTATTACACTTAAGTAAGGAAAATCAATGTCTTCTGACTTTTGATGTACTTACTTAGATATTTATATTCTGCTTGTCTCCTCCATGGGGATCCACAGGAGCTTACAACATCGTTCTCCCCTCTTCCATTTTATCCTCACAGCCATAATCCTGTGAGGACAGTTAGGCTGACAGTATGTGACTAGCCCAAGGTCACCCAGCAGGCACCTATGGCAGAGTAGGGATTTGGATCTGGGACTTTCAGATCCTAGTCTGATACTCTAACCGCTACAGCACATTTGTTTTTTGTTTTTAATTCAGAATGAAATAGCTCAGTTTCTCAAAAAAAGATGTTAAATTGCTTGTTGCGGTAAACAATAACTTTGTTTTGAATTAATTTGATACTGTGTTAATAACCAATATATGAGGGGAAAGGGTTACTTACGCAGGTTTTATACACTTGTTTTTCTTTCTGTTTAAGATTTCCACAGTGAAGGAACCTTTTATTGATCTTTCACTCCCTATAATAGAAGAGAGGGTAAGAAATACTTTGTTTAATAAATAGCGACTTCTGCTTATATTGCATGCTGTTGTGTCTGAGAACATTTGCCTTCTCAGCATACTGGTGATTGAGGTAATCAGCAATAACACTGCTAGTCAGTTTCTGCTTTCCCCAACTCCACCTATAGTAGATGGCTTTGGTAGTGCTAGCAATTTGCTGTGATCATCTGCATTGTCTAAGGGGTATACAATCTTGAGTGCTGGATGATTTTTTAAAGACTTATACAGCAAACTTTAATGTATAGTTGACGTTACTGGACTGCCTGGTTTACAAATAAAACATCAACCTTTGTATTGAAACGTATATTTCCACATAAAAATTTGGTAGTCTCTTTGCTTCTGTCTGGAATAAAGCTAGTGTGGCATGTATACACAAGTTCATCTTGCATGATATAAATGTGAATGGCCGTGACCAAATTCCCCTTTGCCTTCCCCAGATATACTGTCTTTTATTGGCAATGTGCTATAATAGAAGCAGGGGCACTGTATTCAGGAAGAAGCATAATGTGAATAATAAGAGCCAGCCACCATAGTGGGTCTTACCTTTGCTTGCCATTAGGTAGACTTTTATATAGGGTTGGTAGCTATGTTTGGAGGATGGTACACATGTGTGCCCATTGAGGGCATCACATTGTAAATGCAAGCACGAGTTTCTGGTGCTGCTACATGCAGTTCCACTCCTTCCTATGATCATGAAAAGAGTACTGTTTTGCAGGATAAATTTTTCAGCCATCATGCATGTACATTACTCCACTTTTAGGCTGCCTAAGAGTTAGAGGCCGGCAATAGACTTGATAGGCAAAGAAAGGCTCTTTGCTTTTTGAGGTACTTTCCCTTTTTTCTAGAGAGACTTGATTTCCTTTTGGAAAGGAATTTAAAGAATGAACAGAGTGCTAGAATTCTTGAGGTGCCCCAAAACAGATCACAAATGTTCAGGAATCAGGACTACCACTGAGATAGCTGCCTTTGCTTTGAGGTGCTCCACAGGACCTGGTATGCTGCTCTTTAAAGCTTCTGAGAAGCACTAATGGTTTCTAGAAAATAATTGTTTTTGAAAATTATATAATTATCTTTGTTCTTTACTGTTAATGTAAATTAATGTTTAAAATGCTTCAGTATGATTTCAGTATCTGACCAATGATTGCCTAGTTATTTTTGAAGGGATTTGGTTTTTAAACCTACCCCACTATGCTCCAGAAGACTTAAACCAAGATTGGCCCACTACGGGGTCCATTTATAATAGAAATGTTTGTATATTGCACCCTGAATAACCACCTTTATTTTCCAGATTTCAAAACCTGTTCCATGTGGAAGGATGAGTAAATATAAACATGTACAAGAAGCAGATGTTGATCAGTACAGCTGTTGTACTATTACTGCTTTGAATACTCAACAATTAAAACAGTCTAGGAAACATCCAGTAACAAAGGACAAGGTATGAATAGTAGCACAGCTGACCAGTCAGTCTCTTAATATACCCTTAAGACAAACTCATTGTTCTTTGTGGGCGTCTGGACTGGCTAGGAGACTTGGTCTGAAGACGTTTACTGTATGGTACTGTTTCCGGGGGGGAATATATGTAGATATAGTTTTTACAGAGCTCATGATGTTTTCTTGATAAATTGCAACATTTTAAAAATAGTTGACATTGCATGCTAATGGCTAGGGTAGAGAAAGGGTAAATTCATTAGATAGATTTAAAAATTCTACTACTGATTTTTTTTAAATGCTTCTTTTCCTCTGCCCTCCTTCTCCCTTTTCTTTCCTGTTGTCCAAGTTTGCTTCTGGCTGCAATTGCAGGCAGTGCAGAGCCAGCCAAGAGAGCAGACAAGTCAGCATTAGTGCCATTTGGTGGATCAGTTGGCAGGGTGCGCTACAGGAGAAGTACAGCCAACACTGTCTCCCAGGAGACTTGGAACATGGCTTCCAAGATGTGCTCAGCCTGCAGTGGCCCAAGGGCTTGAGAACCACAGTTCAGACTCTTAACATGGTTCTTCCTGATGGTGGCACAGCATGCTGTAGATGAGGCCAGACTTAGAGCACATGGGATGCTGCTCTTCTTGCTTGTACTATACATTATTTTATAATAAAACATTTAAATAATTACTAAGAAAATGCAAGACTTCTTGTAACATTTCAAGTCATAACCTATATCCTTTAGCGTCTAACAGATGAAAGAATGTCTTGTTAAACAACTAAATAGTACACGTATTGCCTCTCGGGTAGTCTGGCAGCATTTCTTTTCTACTTTTTTGAAAAATAAATCTGTTAACTTTAAAAATAGTGCTGCTTGCAGTCTAAAAAGCATATTTGGATGGCATCAATATTTAGTTTCCATTGGAGTGTAATTCCTCCCTCTTCACCATTGTTCTGTTTCTCTCTCTTTCTCTCTCCCTGTTGCTTCTTATAATGTATGTTGTGATTAGGGATGTGCATTCGGTTTGTCCGAACCGAATGCACTCCCGAAAATGGCCCATTTGGACCTCTTTCGGGCTGCTGCAGGCTGATTCAGATTCTCTGATTCGTTAAAAAAAAAAAAGCAACTTTTTCCCCACCATAGAGAACAGTGGAGGGGATAGGGGCAACCTGTTTGAGGGCCCGTAGAATAGGACCCCCTGGTCCAATGCTCTTGAAACTTGGTTGGTATCTTGGGGAGAGGCTCCAGCAGCTGCCCTGCGAGTTTGGAGCCTCTCCCTCAAACCCCCTCCCCTCCAGCCCCCAGAATACACCCTATGTTTTCGCCATTGACTTCAATGGCCTATAGGATATAATGGGGTTGAAATTGACATTCGGCTGGCCAAAAGACTCCTGAATGGTACTGACGAAACTGACATGCGTGAGACTTACTGCCAGCCAAAATTGATTCTGCCCAATTCGGCCGAATCCGAATGGGCCGAATTATTATTTTTTTGCACACCCCTAGTTGTGATCTTGATGTCTGTTTTCATATTTGATCATCTTTGCCCAAAATCATCTATTTGGTGTATATGTTCATGAATTAATGCAAGTCTGTAGAAGCCTAGTATTAAAAATGCGTTCTAGAAAGACTAAAGAGAGCATACCTACTCAGAGGTTGAAATGATGATTCTCAGTTCTGCAAGATGTACTGTAGTGTCTGTGGTTAAGTAGATATGGGAAAAGCAAATGGTAGGATGACTTGTTCACAAGTCCCCATCATGTCTTAGCATTTGTGAGGAAAGTCCTGGGTCAGAAGCAAGAGCAAGATATCCAATCCATGCATAATGGCCGCAGAAGAATAGATGTGCTGAAGACCTTTATTTTAAAAGTGCCCATGAGAGTGCTTAGAATGGGTCTTGACAAATTTCTTTGGCTGTAGGAGCAGACCAAAAACTTAGGAGCCAGGCTCATTTCTCAACTTTCAGAGTTTAAAATTTTATTGACCACACTTACTAATTGTTGCTAGCACAAAATCAAATCCTGACCTCTTTTCACAATTTGTCATAATTTTATGAATGTTATGACTAAAGTATTATATAAAAAAACATAAGGCTAACCCTGGTTGGCATCACCACAAAAAAAAGCTAACCTCTAACCCAGATGTAAAACACTTGTTTTTTAAGAAGTGCAGAAATGTGTCTAAAAAAGAAAGAAAGGAAGGAACCTCAACCAAGTAGGATCCAAGGGTTAACTATAATAAACATACTCAAAGGGCATAATCTGAGGGACTCAGTGTCTCCATCACTAGGTGCCCAATGTAGACAGAGGCTGGCTTTGTATGTACCTTGTGCTGGGCACCAAGGACAAATTAGGGATCCTGTCAGTGTGTCATCCGTCTAGCTTACTAGCAGTGTCTCTGACTGAATTGACAGAGGTGATGTCTGACTTGGTGCTGAGGATCCAAAGAATTATTGTTGTTGGGCATTTTAACATACATGCTGAGGCTGCCTTGTTGGGTCAAGCTCCAGACTTCAGGGCTGCCATGACAGCTATGGGTCTGTCTCAGATTCTAATGTACCCAACACATGAAAAAGGACATATACTGGACCTTCTTTCTACATTGAGTGGCTTGCCAGTGATCTGATTAGGGGCTGGTGATTCGTGGCCAGGCATGGTTAAGTTTGGAAAGTTTGCTGCCTCACTGCAGGGGCGGTGGACTGATTTGGATGGTCCGCCCTGGGGGATTTTAAGAGCCTTTCTGATGACTCTGTGGAGGCCCTTGTAGCTGCATGTAATGCTGGGCTGACTGGGCCATAAACAGAGTTGCTTCTTGGTGCCCTTTTCCATGCTCTTTAAGGCCCCCCAACTCTTTGATTTCTCAGGGAGCTGGGCTATATGAAGTGGACTGGAAAATGACTAGAGCGACATTGGCAGGAGACTCAGGATGAATCAGACACAGCACATCATTTGCAAGCCTATGAGGTGGCAGTGATGGTTGGCAGTGAAGAAGACTTTTTTCTCTGCCACTATTGCGGCAGCAGAATCTTGTCCAGCTCAGCTTGATAACACTTAAACCCAACCCTGCTGGCTATGAAAATCTGGCCTCCAATTGTAATATTTTTGCAAGGTAATTTGTTGTTTTTTTTTTTTAAGTTTTATTTCCCTCTCCTAAAAAGGAGAGAATTTTGCTTTTACAATAGGAAATTAGGGAGGGGATATAGAGGGATAAAGAAAAGTGTTGAGTGATGTTAAGTATTAGTAAATTAAACTTTTTTTAAAAAAAAATTAAAGTTAAAGTCTAAGCTTCTTCTGTGGTTAGGCGATCTTCTTTTCTTCTCTATTTTTCAAAACCAGATAGTTAATATGTTAGTAATGTCCCTTTGGGGTTAGTATTACTTTTATAGCGTAATCCAGAATAGTTAGTTTTTGAGGCCTTTCCCTTTTTTGTCCCTCAAGTTGTACTTTGTGCCAGTCGCTCCTTTGTCTTCCTCATCCTTCACCTCTCCCTCAGAACTGCTGTCCTCTCTGCTACATCCCGACATCCACTTGGCAAGTTCTGCTGCTTCTTCTGAACTGGCGTGCCTCTTCAAAAAATCTTGAGCTTTAAAGTTAGAATCTATCTTTTCTCTTCTGTCTTTAAATTTAAAGACCAGTCCTTCTGGCACCAACCATCGGTAACTCACTTGATGATTTTGTAAGAACATGGTCAACCCTTTATATTCCTTTCTTTTCATTCTGATTTCAAATGGGACATCTTTCAAAATTCTTATCGGTTGATCTCCAATTTTCAAGGGTACCGCTGAAGCTGCCTTTAAAATCTGATCTCGGAGACGTTGCTTTGTAAATTTCACTACCACTTCCGCAGGCAACTTGTTTTTCTTTGTGAAATTGGAGTAGGCTCTATAAGCCAAATCCATCTCCTCTTTTATTTTTTCCGCTTGGTTGCCAGTCAGTGGTGCTAAAGCTGTTGCCAAAATGTCGCTGAGGTCCTCTTTTTCCTCTTCTTTCAAACCCTGGAATCGGAGAGTCAAGTTTGCTTTCTCCATTTGAAGCAATAACAATTTATTTTCTTGTTTTTCTTGGTACTTTTCCACTTTGATGACCTTTTTCTTAACCTTCTGTAACTCTTCCATTGATGCCAAACACTTCTTTGCAATATCGTCTACCTTGTCAGCTGTCTCTGTCATCTTTTTCTGCTGAACACTGTAGGCACTTTCCATACTGTCTAGCTTCTGCTTGATTTTTTGCAGTTCCTCCAGCAGATGGTGCAAAAGTTCACCTTCTTGTTGATTGACAGCAGGGGAAGGGCTTGGACAGGAAGTCCCGCCCATCTTCTTAGGCTGCTTCTTGGGCGGCTTTCTCTGCCCCGCCATGTTTCGTTTTTGTTTATACTTTAAAAGTTCATGCTACGAAGCCCAGAGACACGTCACTGACTGCCGCTTTCTGCTCTCTCCCCAAAGGTAATCGCTTCTACAAATCTCCGCTTCGCCCCCCCTCTTTTCTCTTTAAAAAGTCTCTTCTTCCACCGGGGGGGGAAGCCTCCCCCTCCCTTCCGATTTTCCCGGGGGAACGAACGCGTTTATAACGCCGCTTCAGATTTGATCACCAACTCACAGTTCATCGCTTTTTCGCTTTTATTCCGACTGTACTTTAACGCTCCATCACTCCGATGTTCCGGTGGCGTTGCTAGTCCCCATGCAGGGCACGTCGCAGCCGGGGCCGTTTGGGGCAGAGGGAGAGCCTCAATTCCCGACCTTCTGGCCAGCAAGAGGCTTTCTCCCTTAAGCGCCCCCTAGTTTGGAGCCCTTACCCTAGGGCTCCTTAGGATCTTCCCTTACGCGGAAACCCCCCCCCCCGACTGCGTGTGGGCGATCCAGCTCCGGGAGCGTCCCGAGAGCCGGTCGCCATTCGCGCCGCCGTGGCCGGAAGTCTCATTTTTGCAAGGTAATTTGATAAGAGGCAGCTGCCATACCTTTTCTTTTTAATAGAGAAAGTTTATAAGCCACTGTGATTTTGAAAATATAGGAGATACAGAATGTGGAATTTTAAGTTTTTGGCATTGCTGTTAATGTGAACAAAATATTCTAAATATTTTGGAATCTTAACTCTAAATTAATGTATTTAGTTCGGATGGCTTATATATTTTGAAGATGGTTTTAGTTTATTGGAAGACTTGAGACTTAAACAGCATTCTCTAATGTGCAGATAGGAAAGGAATCAAAATAACACCGCTGCCTTCCACCCACTTGTATATTTCGCCTTGCCCTGGCCCCATTTGACAAGCACACATTTGGAGTCTCATTTAAATAGGGGAATATGTGCATAGAGCCCAACATGCATCAGTCCTGTGATACATGCTCTTGTAAGTACTCAAAATTTGGGGATTATATACTACTAGGAATAAGGCCCATTGTGGAAATAAATACAAAGAGCTCTAGAAAGAGGCTCTGGGCAGGTGCCCTGGCCTTGGGCACTCAGCATCAATTTGCTGTGGTGACCTCAGCAGGGTATAATGACACAGAGTTTCCGTTTTGTCCAGGGAAACTGATCTCTGCCATCTGAAAAGCAGTTGTAATTCTGAGTGATCTCCAGCCCTCCCCAGAACCTGGAGATTGGCAATAATGGTTCCCCAGGAGCCAAATGGCTGGTTTGGAGGGTAGAGTCTATGGCATTGTACCTGTCTTGGAGGTAGCAACCCTATCTCCTTCCCAGCCAATCATCAACATACCGTTATCTACCCCTCTGACTTCAGCTTTCCATCCCCCCCCCCGCCCCGGAGCCTCTACCTAGGAAAAGTATAGTCTTTCTCCTCCTCATTGGGGACCCAAGCAGGAGGGGAAGCAACCTCTGCAGGGTATAATGACTTGGAGTCCACCCTACAAAGCAGCCATTTTCTCCAGGGGAACTGATCTCTGCCGTCTGGAGAGCAGTTTTAATTTTGAGTGATCTCCAGCCCTCACCTGGAAAATGGCAGCAGTGGTTCCCCATGAGGAAATGACTGGTTTGGAGGGTGGAGTTTATGGCATTGTACCTGTCTGAGGTCCCATTCCTCCTGAAACCCCATCGTCTCCAGGCTCCACCCCTCAAATCTCCAGAAATTTACCAACCTGGTGATGGCAACCCTATTTCCTTCCCAGCCAACCATCAACATACCATTATCTGCCCTTCTGACTTCAGGTTTCCATCTATTCCCCACTACCTGTAGCCTCTACCTAGGAAAAGTACAGTCTTTCTCCGCAGTGGAAACCAAAGCAGCTTACATCATTCTCCTCTCCCCCTTTTAATCTGCACAACAACCTTGTGAGCTAGGTTAGGCTGAAAGTCTGTGACTGGTCTGAAATCACCCACTCAACTTCCACAGCAAGAACCTGGGTCTAGCAGACCCTGCTCTGAAGCGCTAACTGCTATGCCCAGGATAGCCAACCCTCCAGGTGGAGCCTGAAGATCGCCGGGTATCACAACTGAACTCCAGACAACAGATCATCCCCCCCCCCGGAGAAAATAACTGCTTTGGAGGGTGGGCTCTATGACATTCTGTTCTGCTGAGGCCTCTCCCGTCCCCAAACCCTGGCTTCCTTAGACTCCACCACAGAATATCCAGGAATTTCCCAACCTGGAGCTGGCAACCTTAGTCAGGACTGGCCCCAATGAGTTCCCCACAAAGGCCTGGAAGGGGATTTCTTGCTTTGCCTTTTTACTGACAGAATCAAGCTTGGTTGTCTAGCAACAGCCACTACGGGAAAAGTTAGTCCCACAGGAGCCAAGCAGGAGAACTGTCTTTGTCAGGAGAGATAGCCGTTTTGATAGTTTATTTTGTGAGGGAAGAGTGTCCAGGCTGGCAGTGGGTGGGGGAGAGAACCCAGCCCCCAGCCAATGGCACATGAGTACTCTTGAGTGGCAGTAGATGGGCCAGTGGCTGATGGAGCACACAGCCAATGGGAGAGCTGGAAATGGTCAGTCATGACTCCCATGCATGTCAAGTAGGACCCAAAGGTGGTCCAAACCAATCCCCTGCCATACTGAAGCTGTAATTTCTGAGTAGAACTTCTCAGTTTTGAAAGAATATGTAAAAAGCTTTCTCTTTGACAACCATGCTTCTGATTTTTTAAAGTATATGTCTGTATTATTCAGGACTGAACGTGTTATATCTTAAAATTAAACATACCTTAGCAGAGAGAAGGAGAATTCTCAAAAAGGTAGAAGAGTTCAGTAGGAACACAATACAAAAGTCAGTCTGTTAAATAATGTTTGTATATTTGCTTTAACAATATCTGTATTTATAGCCGTGACTATATCTGTATTCATAGCAGTAACTACATATAGACTTCAAAAGATGTTTCTTTTTCTCCTTTTAATACCACTTTGGGATCTTCAATGTGGCAATTGACAGAACCAAGTAAACCATGAAAGAAGACTTGCCAAGACATCCTCCTCTGGTGAAGAAGAAACATGCCCTTTTATTATGCATGAAAAACCTAGAGGCACTAAAACTGAAGGATGCTCCAGTGTTCCAGGTTCAGTAGATAGCAGCACAGTGATGGAATGCACATCGAATGAAAGCCAGACTGAAGGCAGTGAAAAAGAAGCAAGTAATTCTGACAGTAGCGTTGATGCAGACAGTGAGGCTTCTGAAAGTGAAAGTGCTCCTAAGCAAACAGCTTCCACCCGAGGTTCTTGCACATCTGGTTTTCACACCGGTGGGCATAAACACTTGCCTGCAAACATTAAATGGCAACCCAACAAATCATCTGATAACAGTACAGAGGCACTTACAAGTTCCTTGTCAAAACTGAGCTTTGGCAACACTGTAAATGAGGACAGGCTGAGCAACAGAGATCAGCTATCAGGTTTGTCAAACACCTTAGCCTTTTCAGCAGAGAATTCTCCATTGCTGCAAAGCCCTCAAAATGCTTTCCAGACCCTTTCTCAGAGTTACGTAACAAGCTCTAAAGAATGTTCAGTCCAGTCATGCCTCTACCAGTTTACATCTGTGGAACTGTTGATGGGAAACAACAAGCTGTTGTGTGAAAACTGTACAGAACAGAGACAGAAACATCATAAAAAAACAAATTCCACAGGTAATGTAGTGTCAATTGAATATTGTTTGTTTGACTCAGAACAACCATGTGTTGGATTTGGATTTTTTTAAAAAAATTAGTCCTTGCTTCATGGCAAATTGTTCTTGAAGTTGAGTGGGGTTTCAGAATTCCCTTGGGATGTCTGAATTCTTGAGCAGGCCAAAAGAGGTTCTTTTGCTCTTGAATCCATATATCTAGGGGAGTCTGAAAATCTGTATGATTGTACCACCTGTGTGACTAATAATGATGACATATAACATCCACCAAACTGAACTATTAGCCACTTTTCAAGGGCCTTTCCATTGCCTCTCTCTTGCTACCTACAATTTGCCCTCCCTACAATTTCTCCATAGTTCTGACTTGTCTTCAGCCTATCACATCTATTTATGCAGTAAACGCTTTCCAAATAATACAAGACCAGTTCTTTAAAACCAATTGAGCTGTATGACATAGTAGAAAGCTTATAAATGAATGGCACACATGCAGATTCCTAGCTGCATAATATGGTCTAATTATTTGGATTGTTCTGTTTTACTCTCTCCAGAGAAGAAGGTGGAAGGTGTATATACAAATGCCCGGAAGCAGCTGCTGATTTCTTCAGTTCCTGCCATCCTTGTTCTTCACCTTAAAAGATTCCACCAGGTGAATTCTTAAAACAGTGCTGCTTTCAGTAAGAAAGATGATGTGCCATTTTTTTTTTGTAAGATTCAATTTTCCTTACAAAAGTTGTCGGGGGGGGGGGGGGGGGGGCTGCTAAGGAAAAACCCTGACTCCATTCTTCCACTTAAAAAAAAATTATCTGAAGAGATTATAACATGATTGTAGCCACTCAGGACTTACCTATTTAACATGACACCATGTAGCTAAATATGTTTAGTTGTGTGACAGCATTAGTGAGGACAAATGAATCCTTCCCATTGCACCCTAAATGGTGGGAGAGAAGATGTAGTGTCAGCATAGATACTCTGTAGATTTTTCTGAAAACTAAAGTAGAAAAAGTATTCAGTATTACTAAAGAATTCAGATTAGTTAATGAAGTTTGAGAGTGTGCTTTAGTGCCATTTAATTAATTATTCATAATATTTGTCTTGCCTTCACCTTAGTGGCTTACAGCAAATATGCCAGGAATATTGAAAATTGCATTTTCAAAAAGTTAATGTTTAAAAATTATAACAGCTTCAGTAGCAGCTACCCCATAATTGACTAGCCACAAATATGAGCCCTCATTATATTCAGCAGAAAAAAATATGGTAATCAGAAAGGGATCTCAGATAAAACCACTTTTACAGGCAGGAGGTGATGTGCAGGACCTCCGCCTGAGACCCTGCAGAGCTGCTGCCACTCTGAGTAGACAATACTCACCGATGCTCTCTGATTCAGTATGAGGGCAGCTTCATGTGTGTTATGTCTGAAAAACCAGTAATGATGGTGCCCCCCTTCAGGCATGCCATTCCATAAGGGTAGAACTATGAGGAACAAAGCTTGGGCTCATAAATATCAAATGCTCCTTCCTCTAAGGAGCAGCAGACTAAGAAGAAGCTGCTGAGGAGAAAAGTCCTCAAGTTATGTCTTCCAAACCATTGTAAGCCTTTAAATGCAAGAACCAGCATAAAAAATTGAGGCCAACAACTAATTATTGGAAATAGTGTATGTGTTAAAATGTAGTTATCTCTGAGGATTTAGAAATTATCATTATTAGAAATTATCAACCTAGACGTAGGTTGAATTTCTCCTCACTGAAACCTGTATCCTCTTTGATGAAAGAAACCTGGCTTTATTATGTCTAAGCAGCAGCACACATTTGTTTTAAAATTCTTCAGTAATGTGAACCATTTTTGATGATGGATGTTTAAGCAACCATTGCAGCATTTTTAAAAAAGTATCCAGTTAATTCTCCCCTCAGTTTCTTATAAAGCTTGACCCATCATGCCTGTAATGATTGTCCAAAAGAGAATCCAGTGGGTGCAGTTTCTCTCATCGCAGTGCCATTCTCCTCCTTCCTGCATAAGTACGTGAACTGCAGTGACTGCACACTTCCTTTGGCTATCACCTGAGAAAACCTTGAATTTTTGTTTAAAATATTTAGGGCATTTATGTAGAAACTCTAATCTCTTTATTATCTTTTTAAGGCTGGTGTAAGTCTACGGAAAGTTAACCGGCATGTGGATTTCCCGCTACTGCTGGACTTGGCACCATTTTCGTCTGCTTCCTGCAAGGTACATATATTGTAACACAGCTGCAGCTATGTTCTGCAGTTCTCTGATCAGCCTTTGCTGTTGATTCCACTCTGTAAACAAATGGTGCCAGTGATGGCATGACCCTGCTCTTTCTAATTAATAGACTCCACTTTCTGGAATGGCCTTCCTGCAAATTGTATTTATTTCATTTATAACTTGCCTTTCTCCCCAGTGGGGACCCAAAGCATCTTTCATCCTTCTCCTGTCCTCCGTTTTATCCTCACAACAACCCCATGAAGGTTGGTTAGGATGAGAGTACATGACTGGCCCAAGGTCACCCAGCAAGCTTCCATGGCAGAGTGGGGACTCAAACGTGGATCTCCCAGATCCTAGTCTAGCACTCTAACCACTACATCACACTGGCTCTCAAAATGTTTAGAATATTAGAGCCTCTTTCATCTTTAGTGCTTTCCTTTCAACAAGACTGAGCTTTTAAGAGGGCTTTATGGTGTAACCTTTTAAAGTCATTTGGACATTGGGTCTCTTGGTTGGTGGAGAATACTGAACAAAGAATTCATGCTTTAAAGAGAACACATACGTAGCTCAGTGTTCACACCTAAAACTTTTTTTTTTGCTTTGCTTCATAGCAAGCTTCTGCATCATGCATAGTGGCATTACTATGCCAAACCATGAAACTTCTATTGATTTTGTGATAGTAGAGTATCCCTTCTGCTGATCTATATCAGTGGAGATAGATCTGATTTCATTTTCTAACAATCAGATTGAATCTACTTAGTAAAGAGCTGTCACTGGTTTTACCAGTCACTGTTTTTGAATATGAATACCTCTGTAGAACTCACTGTGAAAATACCCTGTTTATTTCTCAATTATTATTTTTTTGGGTTCCTAATAAGAACGTGACAGACGGTGGGAAAGTTCTTTATGCTCTTTATGGAATAGTGGAGCACAGTGGTTCCATGCGAGGTGGTCACTATGCAGCATATGTGAAAGTAAGATCTCCATCCAAAAAGCTTTTGGATCACATTTCTAGCAATAAAAATGTTCCAGGTATGTACCAAAGCAAAAGTATCTATTACTAGGTTAAACCTGGCTGCATTTCTAAGCACCTTTTCTCTCTCAGTCTGTTGTACTCAATGAATGGGGTTTACTTCTTCTACTGCATTTCTAGTAATTCCTTATACAGTAACTCTTGCATATGGATATGTTTGGGTTTTTGTGTTTTCAGTATCCTAACACACCTTTCCCCAGCACTGTAGAGGCTCAAATATTTTCCCCTCCCATTTGCAATAATTTTCCATTTTTCCGAGCTATAGTTGCAAGTGCTAAAAATGTGCTGCTTTCATATGTGCAGTAACTCATTTAAAACTGTGTCTTATGCATGGCTTGTGTGTACTTTCTTTCATCAACCACCATTTTCTTTGCACACACACCCCTGGAAGCACCACCAAAGAGGTTTGCTGAAGGCTTAAAAAAACCCTAATAATTGTGGTTTCATTATCGTGTAATAATGTTTAAAATGATCTGTTGCCACAGTGTACTAGCTCTGAATTTCCAGCTTTTATTTTTTAAAAAGAAAATTAGTAGATTATGGCAATAGATTCTTAGAATGTTACTGCAGATTTGTGAAGTACCATTACTGGGGTTTTTTAAAGCCCTCCAGTAATATGGTGTGGAAAAGGGCAGTTGTGAGGGAATGACAGAAGGAGAATGGTGCCCTTGTGGGCAGGACCTTCAAAAATGCTTCCCTTCCTCTCTAGACAGTTTACTAACATTAATAATCTGGAAAGTGGCAAGAGGGTAATGCTGTGTGAATGCCCCTTCCCCCAACCAAGATGGGGGGGGGAATGTCTATTTGGATGCAGCCCTCATTCTATCAGTATGAAGGTTCTAGCTCTTCCACTAGCAGAGATGCCACAATACCATGAGCAAGTTCCTAGTGACACCTTAGAAACACAGGGAACTCACTTGTAGAGTTGACTCAGTGCCATAATATATTTAATTCACTCTTGGTGGCTGCTAGCTTTATGCTCTGAACATAAAATAGGATAGTCAGACATGATTATTTCATTTTGCCAGACAACTTCTGCTCTTTCTGCTGCGCATTAGTTTGCCCACATGCAGTTTGGAAGTCACTGCCATAGGCAGTTTTCTTGATCTTTGTAGTGTCATGCTAAGGTAGCTTTCACACCAGCAGTAAATTCTCTATCCGGGTACAGCCAAGAAAAAAACCTGAATTTAAATTCATTTCATAGCCATATTTCATAACTTCTTGCTTTAAGTATTGTATTCTCTTCTGTTGTTAGATCATAATAAATTATTAACACTCTTGCCTGTTTTACATTGCAGGCCTAAAGGAATCTGTAGGAGCATCTGTAGGACAGTGGGTGTATGTCAGTGATACCCATGTACAAGTGGTCCCAGAATCAAGAGTATTGCATTCACAAGCTTATTTGCTGTTCTATGAAAGAATATTGTAGTTGGATTCAACAGTGAAAACGTAACTGTTATTTAGGCTTACTTGAAATGCAGCAACAGGTAATAGCAGATGTAAATGTTGTGCATTTACCTCTTCTCTAGTATAAAACATACCATGATTTGAAAACACCCATGGTTTTCAGCCAGAGATGCACATGCAAGGCTCACATTGTTATCTGGCAGCTGACCCTTGCACCCATTGTTTGTTGCCCCTAGTGCTGCTCTGTGAGGACTTCGACCTTCAGAGGGGCTTTTAAAGAATGTGTGGGACTGCTGCCAGTAGGGGTAAATTGAAAAGTCCCTGTATGCAAGGCAAAGCAAAGTCATGTTTCTCTGGAGCTATGCCTACATGTTAAAATTCTAAAATTCTTTTGAAATTATGCACTCTGAAAAAGAATAGTAAAATTTCAGTTTAGGGCAGCACAACCAAAATCCATTGAAAAAGATTAATTGCAGAAATGATCTCAGAAAGACTGAGTAGTGCCTGGATTTTCCTTGCTGCAAAATACTGTATATTAGATCATGAACATAGTTATGTTGCATGTTTGGCACTTGAGTTTTCTGGAGTGTTACGGCTGCAGTCTTTTTTTATGGTGTTATTACTTGAATCCATTTGTAAAAGGCATGTGACATAATCCTATCAGGGCTGCAGGTAGGATTTTGCAAGATGAAACATACCACCCCACCAGAAGTTTTCTGAATATGGAAACTTTGGAACATCAGAAAGACAGCCAGAATAGAACACTCTCCCCTGATGTGTTAGCTGTCCATATGCAGGGGTGCTTGACATTGCGGAACTGCATGCTTGAATGTTTCTCTACCTACAACCTGAAGTGGTAGCCTTGGGTGGACTGTAGTTCATAATTACCTATTTTAAATAGATAACAAATGAATTCATACTTTCTAATTCTGCACACAATATTCTCTGTCATTTATTAAATTAATTAGCAAGGGTGCTGAGAAATAATCAGTGACTTCAAATCCTTTTCCTAAGTACTCTAAACTTCATAAACTATGTACTGCTTTAGTGTAAAAACAAGTCAGTTGTGCAGGGGAGTTAGTCAGTGGTTTAGATCCAGTGGAGCATTTCTGTGGACAAGGATTTTCGCACTGAGGGAGGCAAGGAGAGGCAAGGAAAATGCGCTCTACTCCCTCCATCATGGAACCCCTCCATTGGATCCAAGCCACTGGCTCTCATGAATGCACTGTATTTTTTTGCTTTTTGTAAGAGGGGAAAACACCTTCCCCTGCACCGTATGACAAGCTGTTAAAACATCAGGAGGTTTCTAAGAAGAAACTGCTGCATGTTGTAAAGGTGGGGGGTGGAGATGAATCCTTACATTTATTAAGGGGCTTTTTGTATTGTGACCATTACAAAGGTATGGAAAAGTAAATTTTTATAAAATCATGGAATTCTCTCTCTCTGATTTGTTTTCCTGGATATAACTTAAAGGGAATAAGGTGTGTGCAGGTATTTCCATGTACATGTGGTATCCAGGGTAGAATCTGAATACAGTCTACTAAGAAGCTTGTGATAGAGAGTGGTCTTTCTCTGGACACCAAGTAACATAGATATAAATGGGAAATGTGCCAGAGCAACTGTGCTATTAGGACTGCATTTCTGTGGGGTTAATTTCAGCAGAAGATTGTGTTGGATTGTGTGTGCTGCTTGAAATGCTGTAAGAGATTATTATGCTGTAATATGAACACCTGAGAAACAGCTAACCATTGTTGTGACTTAAAACAATCCTTTAATTATTTTATTAGGCAATTTCTTATCTACTGAACTGAGTAATTTAAAATTAAGACTAAAGTAGCTCAAACCTCAGTGACCTGTTTCTCATCAAGAAAAGAGGCTTGTTTGCATGGTAGGAACAAATTCTTATGCTTCTTAGCTTGTAAAACATCACATCTGAGAAGTTCATAATTTCTGGAAAAATAAAGCGGAGTCTTGTGTCACCTTAAAGACTAATAAAATTTTATTGTAGCTTAAAGTTTTAAGAACTACAGGCACACTTTAGATGCAATGAGTTGTGTATTCCAGTTAGGGAGGGTGAATCACTTAGATTGCTGTGCACTGATTTTCCTCCAATAGTTGAGCAGTTTATACATAAAGGGAGTTACACAGAGCTGTGTGGTCTATTGAAATGACCATAGAAGTCCACTAGTACAGGAGTTCAGTGTGCATGCACTCATCAGAGTACAAATGTAGCTGTAGACTGGGTAATTCAAAGAGATTTGGTGTCAGTTTGGTGTGGTGGTTAAGTGTGCAGACTCTAATCTAGGAGAACTGGGTTTGATTCCCCACTCCTCCACTTGCACCTGCTGGATGACCTTGGGCAAGCCATAGTTCTGTCAGAACTGTTCTTGAAAAAGAGCAGTTTCTGTCAGAGCTCTCTCAGCCCTCACCTACCTCAAAGGATGTCTGTTGTGGGGAGGGGAAGGGAAAGGAGTTTGTAAGCTGCTCAGAGACTCCTTTGGGTAATGAAGGGCGGGGTATAAATCCAATCTCTTCTCATTTGTAAAATTGTAAAGGCAGAGTTCTCACAAGCATCCCAAAATAAAGATGTGCTCTCAAAATTACACAGTTCAGTCATGCATACCCACCCAGCCACAATTACACTCTGATCCACTAAAGTTGAATCCCATCCATTTTAAGGTGAGACTCATAAACGTGCATATTTCTCACACTGAACGCAGTGGGGTTTAAATGTGCTTAACTAACATTGCTAAAGTCTAATGAGCATCTATCAAAGTTTTGCTTTTTCCTGTAGTAGGAACTCTCTTGTCCTTTTTTTAATCTCCTTTTCCAGTTCCCTGTATTAACCTAAATTCTCAGCTTTCTTTAAATTTGGACCCAGCACAAGTATTCTTAGTGTTTTTTAAACCTTCCTTTTCAAGAGACACACAAAAGAGTCCTGTAACACTTTTAAAAGTCAAGTGGGTAAGCCGTGTTGGTCTGAAGCAGCAGAACAAATTTTGAGTCCAGTGGCACCTTTAAGACTAACAAAATTTTATTCAAGGTATAAGCTTTTGTATGCAAGTACAGTTCTTCAGACACATCTGAAGTGTGCTTGCACATGAAAGCTTATACCTTGAACGAACTTTTATTGGTCTTAAAGGTGCCACTGGACTCAAACCGTAGAGAGTAAAAGTGTTATTACAGCATAAGCTTCTGTGGTCTAAGGCCAGAGTCATGATATGCATGAAGTGGAACCCTTGGCTGGGCAGAGCCCATGAAAGTCTATGCTACATTAAATTTGTTGGTCCTAATGTGTTAGACTTCCTTTGCTACAACATACTGACAGTTGCCAGTTTTACCATCAGGAGATTAGGATTTTCAGAATCAGGGAGGCTCCTGACCTCAGACTTCTTTCTCTTTTACATGCTCACACAAGTCAGTGTGATTTCGACCTATTCTTCCATTTTTGTGGCTGCAAAGCACTTGTTCATTAAATAGTGTAAATATTGATACTTGCATTGACAGTTGAGCAACAGGAGTACTCCACCTTCTGGTTTGATTTGAGAATTGCAAATCTTAAAATCTCATTTAATTAGGGTGAGGCCACAACATGCCTGGAGCAGCAGTTCCCAAAGTAAGATGTTAGCAGCTGTGGCTAAGTGTTTTATACATAGGATATCCCCCTATCCAGACACATCTATCTTTGAATATCTGCCTCATCCAAAATTACATTACAGTGTAATATACCTATCTGAAATGTCTGCAGTTTTCCTTTCCTAGCTTTAAGGTTTTGGCAAACATGAGGGCTTACCAAACTCTAAGCTTGAGTAATTCTGCATTAACCCCCAATGGATAGATGGCACTGTCAGTCTGGAGAGTCCTGATTGCTACCTCCTGGTATTGGGAAAAGGGAAAAGCAGCCTAGATATAGTCTCCATCTCATAACAGTGGAGTATAAGTGCTACATAAATACTTGTTATCTATCAGAGGGAACCACAGCTACACCACTGATTTCTGGATTCAGGAGTATTGTGAAATTTCCTAGTCCAGTGGATCATCCTTGCAGAACTAGGGTGGTTGTCTGTTACATGTGGTGGTAAGCTAGTGAACAAAATATTCTCTACACATAAAGTAGATGTGCCAAATTGTTGATTTGAGCTATGACTTGAAAACACACTGGGCTATCAATTTCTGAACTATTATCGTAGGGACATCTTCAAACTGTAAATGGGAACTTTTATTAAAAACATACATTTGATATATTTCAAAATTGGGCACAAGGAAACCAACCGTTATTTCCTCTGCATGATATTACAAACATGAGGCAGATTATCCTAAAAGAACTCTAGAATAACAGGTTTTCTACTCTAGTGTTAGTAATCTTGGATTACATTTTATATATAAACAGATTAAAATTATTTAAAGGGTTGCGAAGAATATGTGCAATAAATCTATTTTAATGTATTTTTACATGTAGTGTAAAATGTATACACAGCTTTCAATAGGAATATGTATGTAATAGAATGGAGAGAAAAGCAAACTATATTCCATTGTGGATTCAAATTTTAAAAATCTATTTTTGATTTTCAAAATAAAGTATTAGTGTATATGTTTAGGAAAGTGTGTCTGTTTACCTTTATTTGAAAGGTGTATCGTAAAGTGAAATTGAAAATGGGTATCAGGTGCTTGTTTATGACCATCTTGACTGTGCTAATGTAATTATGTACATGAAACATAAAATGAGCCATAGTTTGAAAGATGTTAAAGGTTTCAATTTGGGCTCAGCACCTGTTGTCAGTTTTCCAGTATTTATCTGATGTATACTATCTGTTTACCAAACTGCACAATAATGGCATTGTATTTTTTTAAAAAACATATTGTTGAGACTTTGAACTGTGGGGTGTGTGAGTGTGTGTTTAATTTATGTCATTTATATTCTGCCTTTCTCACTTGGACTCAAGGTGGATTACATAGAGTGAGTCAATACAATCAACTGGATGGGGTATTTAATAAACACAATACCAGAACTCGTGGACACTCAATGAAATTGCTGAACAGTCAGGAGGTGGTGGCAGCTACAAGCATGGACGGCTTCAAGAGGGAATGGCTTGGAAACCGAGATGAGCATTGCACCCCTAGAGTCGGATTCAACTGGCCTTCGAGCAAGGGAAACCTTTACATTTACTAGAATGCAAAGGAGTGATGGGGTGAAGTCCTAGGAACCACATCTCACTAGGAGATTCCTTGTTTTTTATTTTTGGTAGGATATCTGGTTGGGATCCAAGGCCAGGGTCTTCAGCTAGGGAACACCACGCCTAAACACATGTAGGGCACATATAAAACCCCTTGTTGATCCGGGGTGGAATGGGGAAGTCCTGTAAATGAAGCCCAGTACCCCCACGGTCAGGATAAAAGCTCTCCATGTGTGAACTTCTACAAAGTTCTGGTAGACGGGCAGGCCTCTGTGCCTTTCTTTTTAAAGAGACCGAGAAGTCCCCACAGGTCGCTCCCGCTGGTGGAAGGAAATTTAGTAGAGTGAGAGGCTCCCTTAGAGTTATTAATTTGTCCCTAGACTGAGGAGTAGGTACACCTCCCAGCCAAAAAATTCTGAGAGTGTGTGAGGGAGATTTGTACCCATTCTCTTTTAAATGTGTAAGGAAGTGTTGTGTTAGCTTTTTCACCCAATAGGTGAAATTGCCCAGAAGGCTTTTGCATCGGGAAACTTAGGTTCAGTAGTGGGTAGGAAGCCCTCTGTTGTGCCCACCTCGAACAGGAAAACTCTGTGTGTGTGTGTGTGTGTGTGTGTGTGTGTGTGTGTAAGGCCATATGCCAGAATCCCACACATACTTTGGAAGCCCAGGAATCAGGGTCTTCTCTCTTTAGTGGCCATCAGCCAAATAGGTTGTTGTAACATAAGGTTGTTCTTCAGATTGGAGTATCTGAAGTTAGGCAGTGTTGCTATGCCAGGAATCAAACATGGGTAAATTAGAGAAATGGTTAGTGAAGAAAGGAAAAAATCCTTGGGAATTCGGCTCTTTCAAGAGTCCAGACTCCCTCAGCATTCTTAGAGATACCTTCCAAGGTGTCTGTGAGAAAACCAAGCCTCGTAGCTCCAAGAAGAAATTACTTGCCATCTGGGATCTTTACGTGGTCCTCCAGGACTCTTTGTGCTTTGCATTCCATATGCAGGAACGATATGAAGAAACAACCACTAGGCTAGAGGCTAGCAAGAAAGAAACTGAACAACTCATGTCAGAAAGATTTGGCCACTTAATGGATATGCAAAACCTAAATTCCTCTGTCCTGGAAAGTAAGAAGAAAATGGAGGACACTTTAATCCGCACCTAGTCCTCTGAGCAAAAAGTAGCTACCATGGAGTCTCAGTTGGTAGCATGCCGCCAACTTTTTAGTCAAGAAGTACAAAACCCAGCACCAGGAAGTCAGTCATGAGGCGTGCCACAATGACTCCTTAAAGCAACAGCTGGGAATGCAAAGAGCTCCCATCACCTCCATGCGCCCTGAGAACCTCTCTGCCATCCCCAATACCTCCTTATCTTTTGAGGAGATACTGGAGGAAGCCACTTCCCAGGCCCCCTTTAATCCAGACCATTAAAAGGAGACTGCACTCTTAAGGCCAGTCCACACCAAGCTTGTCAACACTCACACCACCCAGGAAGTGACCAAGATTGTCCTGTGGAAACCCCATTAAGCACAAGTCATTGCAGATACTGGAAGGACAATGACAAAGGTCCCAGTTCAGGCCCACTCATTCAAACCACAACATTCCCCAACCTCCCTGAGATTGTGAGGACTATCTTAACCCCAAGGGTGGAGGACCTGATCCTCCCCAGAGTTCTCCCATTCAGACTGAGGTGCCCCAGGCAGCATTCAGATGCTTCCAATCTGGTCGAGGATTCACCTCGGTCCAGGACGGACTCCGATGACATGCTTGGATGCAGCTCAAAGCACTGGGGGCAGATCTGGTCCAATTTGATGGACAGCCATTGAGCATCCTACTGAAAGCAATCATAGATTTCGAGGAGAACAGAACAGGCCCTCAGACTCCCCAGCCAGTGGTCGCCACATTGATTCTGGACTGTATCCTGATCTCAGCGATCTCTGCTAGGGGTGCCCCAGGTCCCATCCGCTCCCCATGGGAGTTGTAGCTAAACTTATTTATTTATATTTATTTATTTCAGCCAGACAACTGGGAAAAGCCAATGGTACATGGAGGCATAGGGACCCCGGGAAATGCAAAGCCTGCCACCCTTCTAATAGACACAGGAGCATCCTTGAATTTACTCCACCCAGAGCTTGTGGCTTACCGAGTCCCTT